ATATAGAAACACTTGTTTTTTTTGTCCGGTGATAGGCAAGACAACACTGAACACATGGATATTTTACTGCATGAAGAATATAAAGTTATGAGTTTTTAATGTTCCGGGCCACTTTTTAAAAAAACCTCACCATGTTGGCAATATAGAAAAATCCATTTCAAGAGAATAGTGTTAAATGCACCACTCCCTACTAGCACATTTGGTGACTTTAGCAAGATAATACAATATTCTTTTTTCAGATTCTCTTTGGCTTCCAGAGTGTGGTAGCATGTCTTCCTAGGGTCTCCAAATAACACTAACAATACACATATTTTCTGTATTTCAGCAAATACCCGTGTGATCAAGCAGTCCTCCCTCCAGAAGTTCCAAGACGAGATGGGAGCTGTACAGAAGGATCCATATCGTGTGGTGATGAGACCAAGCAAACTCCCCATGTCCCTCCTGCATGATAGAGTCAAAGCTCATGTGAGTATAAAATGCAGAAAGCTCCTTTTACTGTAAAGGAATAATTATTTCTTCTTCTTTTTAAGCCTGTGCTGTCCACCTAATTTTCCATTTGTCCCAGGAATACTCTCTAGAGGAGATGTGTGAATTAACACCGTTTAAACATTTTATTGCACGTATACTAGCATATAAAACTGTTGACGTTTCTACGCAATTCTGAATAACATCCAGTTGTTCTTTTCCAACATACTGGGTCTGTTTCAGTCTTTTTTTTTAAATATAGTCCCTCGTGGAATTGAGACTTTTCTCTAAATGTGAAGCAGTTAAAGATACTGATTTGTTTCCTTTACTTTCGGTTGTGTTATTTCCAGTAACATTACGAGTATATGTGACCAGCAGCTTCTCAGATCAGTGTAGCGTTCATGCTTATGCGGAGCATTATTTTTTTCCCCACGTAGTGAAGACCTCCTCATTTACCAACCGGCTAATAGCCAATTCATGTGAAAAACATTGCTCTTAAATCTGGATGTCGGGCTGTTGATTGACCCTGTTGACAGATCTCATTCCAAAAAGGCAGATGAGTTGAACCAGAGTTTGTGGTTCCATAGGTGGAATGCATTATCAAAGAACTGGAAAGCCCTGTTGAAGATCTTGGCAGATAGTCAGGCAACCTGAATCCTTAAAGATCATTGTTTCTGACAACCCTGTAAACTGTTTGCCACCTCTCATGGCAGTGTTGCAATAGAGGCATGACTTGTGATAAATATCATTGGAACACTTAATCAGTCCTGGAACCGGCGAAGCTGTTTCATTGGCATGGTTGTTGCATATTTGGTTGTTCTGTTTACTGTATGTATTTGTTCTGTGATTCTGTCTGAAACCTCTGGAACGACTGCATCACTTTGACTGTATCGAAACTTGGTTGTAACACAAACATTTCCACCTGCATTGTGTCACAAAAGATTCATTCTGAAAATGTTCATATCTTATTACTCATTTGAATATGCACTGAGCAGTTGTATTATGTCGGAGAAACACAAGTTCGACAGTCGGAGCTGTAAGTCTAATCATTTTCTTTGTTTCTACACCTGCAGAACTCCAAGGTGCACATTCTGGACACAGAGGGTTTTGAGACCACATTTGGGCGCAAGGCTCAGAGGAAGAGGCCCAGTCTCGTGGTGGAGGATGTGAAGGACCTCGTAGAAAAGGCTGAGGCCTCAGTCCGGACCTATGATGCCGACAAGGACAAAGACCTGGTGATTGAGGACATGGGGGTCCGGTAAGACCCGTTATGCGATTTCTCCGCAACGCTTTCAGGGAATTTCTTCAGATTTGGCCCAAACTTCCACTTGGACTCGAGCATGAACTGATTAGAATTTAGTTGTCAAAGTTTACGGTCACTGTGACCTCACAAAATGCATTTTTAAACCAAAACTCAATAATTGATCATTAATTGCTAATTATGACAATTTCCCGCACTAATGCTAGTTTTATTCTCATGTTGCAACAGGGATGAAGTACGTGAGGAAATCTTCAAAAAGGGTCAGTCCAAGAGGATCTGGGGAGAACTTTACAAGGTATTGTTTCCATCCTCCTCTCAGCATTGTGCTAATGTAGCGTCACCGTGACGCGCTCTGGGGTCATTTTGCATTCCTGACTGTTTTCTTGCGATAGGTGATTGACTCATCTGATGTCATCATCCAAGTGCTTGATGCCCGTGATCCCATGGGAACGCGCTCCCAGAGCATCGAGAAATACATGAAGAAAGAGAAATCCTGGAAACATCTGATCTTTGTTCTAAACAAGTGTGACCTCATCCCCACCTGGGTCACGGTAAGAAATCAACAACATGTTCATCTTTAGTTTCCATTTCACTGGGAGTGAATGCATCTGTTTTGTCGTAGTATGATTTTTAAAAAAAAAAATGTCTCTTTGTCTCCACTCAATTTCGAACCAGAGACGTTGGGTAGCTCTGTTATCCCAAGAGTGCCCCACTCTGGCTTTCCATGCCAGCCTGACCAACTCGTTTGGTAAGGGCTCCCTCATCCAGCTGCTCAGGCAGTTTGGCAAGGTAAGCACATGGCTCAAAATCAAAATACCTGTGATTTAAGCGGAAAACCATTTACTGCTCCAATAACAGTCCCAGATACCATACCTTGTTGCCTTTTATGTCGTTCAGCTTATTGTCCACTCAGTGGAATCTTTTAAAACTGTTTATTTGCTTTTGGCCGTGGATGTTCAAATTGCACGCCCTGTGATTTATGAGCGTACTATTTAAATAGATTGACTTATTACAAAAACTATAAGCTATAATTTAGGATGCTAGTGCTTTGAGCTTGGTTCTCCATCGTCTTTTTGTTGCATTGTGTATCTCTAACCCGACATAAAATGAGCTCTACTCTAAAAGTAGACCTGAACATGCAATGTGACGTAGTGACTGTGGAATGTAACGTGTTTGTGAAAGCGTGGGACTTAAAAGATCTGATAAAGTTTCATATTCAAATGGAATGTTCTTGTTAAATTGAATGTTGGGATTTCAAAGAGGCTGTTATGAGAAAACTTCTATGGGGTTTTTTTTTTTTTTTCCTTGTAAAAGTTATTCTCTGGACTGCGTTCACCAAAGAGTCTGGAGGTAACGAGATGAAAAACTTGTTCCAAAAACAGCCTCCATAGTCCACCTCCTGGGACAAAAAGTACAGTTAGCTACATCTCTTGTTTTAAAAGGTTCCGTGATGTTCTTGTTGACATAAGAAATCCTTTTAAAGATATCTTTTGGTATGTGTTTTGAACAAACTAAATTGTGGCTCTGGAGTGATGACAAGTTCACTTGGTTTATTGCTAATGGCAACAGAGCCCCATCTTAAATTACCTCCGTGGACTGAGGACCAGACGGCGGTTGTTGTTGTTGAGGAAACACCACATTCTGACTTTATTTTTGGCCTCCCACAGCTCCACACAGACAAGAAACAGATCAGTGTGGGTTTCATTGGCTACCCTAATGTGGGAAAGAGCTCCGTCATCAACACCCTGCGGTCTAAGAAGGTCTGCAATGTGGCACCCCTTGCCGGAGAAACAAAGGTACGTTTCCAGTTTCATCTCAGCCATGTAAGCTAAATGTACACATGTGATATGAAGTCTAGCAACATTGAAAGCGTGTTTAGTAAGCACTGCACTGGAGGGCTCTGTAAAAAGGAATACAGGAAACAGTTTTGAAATCCTTTTTTAGTTTTTTAAGGAAAATGATGAAACTGAATTCTAAAGGTTAAGTGTTCATATGAGTGCCTCTTGTTGAAAATCTTTGAACCTTTGCTGTAAAGGCCTAGAATCAAGAATATGAAAGAAAAGATCCAACCAGTATTATACACAACTAATCGAAAAAGGATAAGAGCAAAAAAGGGAATGTTTTTGTGTAGAGAGTGAAGAGGAAAGAGGAGTTTTGATTCAGTGGGAAGGTGATGTGATGTCCCTCTTCTTAACTTGGTAATTGTTGATGGCTGCAACAACAGAAATAGTTGGCTCAGTCTCTTCACCACATAACTGAAAATCTACGGAGAGACTGGGCCAAGAGAAAGAACAACAACCATTTTCATCCTTAATTTCCTCTGTCTGGGGCTGCTTATCCTGTTTGGAAACGAACAAGGGCCTGATAACCCCGATGTCCACAGCAGGGTCAGGGGGGGGGGGGCTGTGTCCAACCCTCCTTTATTTCTCACCTTGCCTTTCATTCTCACCACATACTGGCTGCACTGCCGTGACCCTCATTCTTACTGTTGTTCAGATGGATGTGTGTGTTATGTTTGCTAGTGCAGTACGCGTTCAGAAAGGGCCTGTTGCTTGGCTGCCGGTACCGGATGTGCTGCAGGGCATGAAGAAGAGTTAGGTTGTAGTGTATCCGGTGTCCAGCAGCAAAAGTAAACTGCAGCCAATGATCCGCGGCCTAAATGCGAAAGACAGACAGACAGGGAGGGCAAGATTCCTTGCTTTGTAGTAAGGTATGTGAAAAGATCCCTCTGATGAACCAGTCGTGGAAGAGCGAGATGGTTTGTAGCATATGGCGAAAAGAAAGGAAGCCATTATCACAGTTCTTGGACAGATTCAAAACAGTCTTTGATTTGCACTGACAAAAAATATATATTTTTCCAAGATCCAACATCTCATGTGAACCTGAAATGATTTAATCATTTAAACATTAATCTCCTTCCTTTTTTTAGGTGTGGCAGTACATCACTTTGATGAGGCGCATCTTCCTCATAGACTGTCCCGGTGTTGTCTACCCTTCAGACGACAGTGAATCTGATATTGTCCTGAAAGGAGTGGTAAGTCTCTTTATTTAGGTTTTCTGATATGTGCCTCGCATACCTCTGCTCCAATACAATACAATGGAGGTGAATCATTCATGCTCCTCATAGCACAGAAAGACAGGCTGTTAATGTGGGATCTTTGACAGCTCTAGTACCTGGAACGTAATGAACAAAGAATTGAAAGTGGATTCTTTTTGCTAATACCCGGCTGTTAAAAAGTGCCTTAATCAGCTCCAATTCTGATCCTCCAGTTCCTCGGTTTAACATTTAGGCCTCGTAGTCCCTATAACTGAAAGGTTGCTGGTCCATATCTTAAACTGCACGCCTTCTTCTTCCCCTTCCTCACAAAGGTTCAAGTGGAGAAGATCAAGAACCCAGAGGAGCACATTGCGGCAGTGCTGGAGCGGGCCAAGCCAGAATACATTCGGAAGACTTACCGCATCCCCACTTGGAACTCTCCTGAAGAATTCCTTGAGAAACTGGCAATGCGCACTGGGAAACTTCTGAAGGTCTGAATCTTCCGCTTTCATTTTCTTGCTTGCGGGACATTAACAGGATAGACTTAAAACTGCTCTGCCTGAAGTTGAAATCGAGTTGTTTATTATTATAAAAATAACATAACAGTATCATATCGGTATACGTACAAGTACGAATTTTAATTCCATTTTATGAAGTGCAACGCCAAATCCTTACACAATACATCTGGTTTATTTTTGGCTTCCAGTTAAATAGCAAAGTGTGTGTGAACCACTAGTTTAAATCCTTAACTTGAGCAACGTATTCTTGGCATTCTACAGGGTGGTGAGCCAGATCTCTCCACAGTCTCCAAAATGGTGTTGAATGATTGGCAGAGAGGACGTATCCCCTTCTTTGTGAAACCCCCTGGGGCTGAGGGGGATCATGAGGTAAGACTTTGTTCTGTTTCATCAGTAAATTACTTTTTCTCTACACCAACCTGTGTTTTCAACCTGTGCTTTGGGTCTGTTGTTTTTCTAGGGCAAGGGGCAATTCCCAGTTGAAGCACCCTCAGCGGCAGTTGAGAATGTGCAGGAGGAACAGCCAGACAATCCGGACGCCACCTCGGAGGAACAGCAGCAGAGAAAGAAGGAGCAGGTCACGAAGATTCTGTCTAATGTGCGACAGAACTTTGGCAAAATCAATGTGGCACCCGAGTTCAACGAGGAAGACTTGGTTCCTGTGGAGATGCCTGACCTGGGGCTGTCTGACTTCTCTGGCTCTGATGGCGAGGAAGACGGTGAAGAAGAAGAGGATGAGGATGAGGAGGAGGGCGGCGGCAGCGCCGAGGCAGACGGGGCCAATGTTGAACCAGCTAGTGGAGAGACTGTTGACGCCGAGCCTGCAACCGCTCAGACTGGCAAAGCAACCAGCAACAAGAGTTCACGGGAGGTGATTCGTGAGCTGGATGACAAGATCTCTAAGTACAAGCATTTCCTGGACCGGGCCAAATTCAAGCGCTTCTCTGCAATACGGTCAGTATGCTCCCCACCAAACCTCACTGAGCTATTTCCTTTGTTTTGCCCTAATTTCTTTTGTCCAGTAAAGTAACAGGAAGTTGTCAGGCAGAGAGATGCCATGCATTTGAGTTGGTCCGTGCTAAGCAGCCTTTAAGCCCCTGAGGACCAGCAGTCAGTAGTATTTATCTCTGATCAGGAGCCTGTTTCCATAACTTTTCCATGTCTTTGTGTTCTTTAATCAAGTATAGCTGCATAGATAATCGCTGTTCATTACAACAGATCCCAACCATTTGCTTTGTTGGGGATTTATCCACTCTTCTTCTACTTTGGACAGGATACCTAAGGCACTGTCTGACAAAGCGTTCACGGACATCAAGACTAAACAAGTGGCGGCAGAGCAAGCAAAGCAAGCACAGAAGAAAGGTAGTCGATCAACATGTTTGTCATGACTTTGTATGGTGCTGAAGGTAGATTTATTTGTTTTGGAAGATCAGACTTCCAAAAAAAACTTTCACAGTTTCTCAGAAACAAAATAAAAGGCCCACAAAAGCATGCCGTCTTACTGGTGTGAGTATGTATTATCCCAAGTTTGACACATAAATACTGATTTGTACGGTATTTGCCTGCAGCCATACAAATTGGGTTGGTCAGGACTCACATTTGTCAATCTTTGTTTGAATTCAGATGCAAATCAGCAGAGCAAGAAGAGGAAAGCTGAGGAGGACGAGGAGCCCACCCAATCCCACAGACTGACGTCTAAACAGGTATGCAGTGTTTGTCCTCTCTGACGTCAAACAGATCTCTGTGTCGACGCGTTTGCTCGCTCAATGTGTATTCCTCTTTTGGAATGTTGGATCTCTGTAAATTCAAGAGTACAGTGTATACCTGCTCTATATGAAAAGTGTCATCAGATAACCTCTGTTGTGATTTGGCACTATATGTATATATAAATATAAACTTGACTTTCTGATGTAACAGGAATGAAGTTGCTCATGTTTTTCCTCTGTTCTTTATCCATCTCTACAGAGACGAGCAATGGACCATGCTAAGAAGACGAAGAAAGTTGGTGTCCGCTATTACGAAACACACAATGTGAAGAACAAGAACAAGAACAGACAGGCCCCAGCATCGGCCAAAGACGGCCAAAAGGCCAAACGACCAAAACACTAGACTGGAGTCGTGAAACTCAACGTTTGTAATAAATCTTTATTTAAACTAGCCCAAAAGAACATGCTTTTATTGATAGTGTAGAGTTGACAGAAGGTGGAATGCTGACTAATTGTTAAATGGTCTTTATCAAGTGGCCACTTGATGCCTTATCATTACCATGACCGTCTCTCTGTTCCAGTCTCCAGGACTGTTTTTGAATGACATTTAATTCATCATTTACAGGTGTAATGCTCTCTTGATGTTCAAGAGAAAGGTACAGTTATTGTGAACTGTACTTGCCATGCTGTAATAAAATACTCTTTAATTACAATCGGTTAAGTTTATATGAATTCATTTAGAAACGAGACAAAGAACAAATGTCACATTCTGTACTGGGAAATGAAGACCCGGTTCTGGTTTGGCGAAGTTAATTCTTTGGTGTAAGGATCTTTTCCAGTTGGTTCTGAATAGGAAGACAAATGTAAAAATCTTAAGACAAGACAACATGGCTGCTATTGGTTCTGAATCTAAAAGATTGTTTTTCTTTGGTACGTAAAAAAGAAACATCACCTTGAGCTGCTGGTTGGTTCTCTTCAGGAACTCGATCTCTTCACTGAGCTTCTTTTCCTCCAACTGTCGCTTTTCGTTTTCTCTCTTTTTAATAGTTTCAGAGATGGCTCTCTGTTCGTTCAGTTGCTTCTTGAGGTCTGCTTTCTCCTCCTCCAGATCACAAATCTAGGCATGTGTGAAAAGACAAACTTGTACGTCAGTTATGCAAAGAGCACTACCCCCGTCCTTATGTTACACTCTTAAAGTGAAATGGTGCTCTCTGCTGGATAACTTACTGAAAAACAGTTTATAACTATATTCCTTTGGCTTTAGATCTTATCTATGAAGTGCTGCAAACATTTCCGATTCTGGGTCCTCGTGCCCTTTATGTAATTATTTGTTGTAGGTCATAATAAATGACTAAATGTCCTTACAGTTTTCTCCATGTCAGCCTTGCCCTGCTCAGCCTGCAGTGCTTTCCTTATTCCAAAAGCCACGCTGCTCTCGTACAGTGTCTGGTAGGCAACTATAGTCATCTGAATCTCATCTCTGACCCTCAGAAGCAACAGACCCCTCTCAGCGCAGTTGATGGTCACCTGTCTGATCAGCTCATCTGAAAGAAATAGAAAATTAGGAGAATAGGACAATTTGAGTTAATGTTGATATGGGTGAAACCACCACTATCTCAGCCTCCTCCTTACCAAAGCACTGGGAGTAAAGCTTCCTGCGGACAGGACAGATTCCTGTTTCTCTGGCCAGCCATTGCTGCAGCTTTATGTCCATCTGTTCCTCCAGGCGAATAACGTCTGTTCTGGTACAAGGTGCACTAGACACGTGCTGCATCCACAGCTGGTTTCCCTCCACCCATTCCCTGCAACCGCAGAAGTCGAGATAAATGAGAGTGTGGTTTGTTCTTGTTGAACGTTATATTGTTGATGGTATGGAGCTATACCTGGGTGGAAGAATGCTGTTCAAGATCTCCTCATTTTCCTGCTTGGCGGCATCAGCACTTGCTGATTTTGGCTTAGGAGGGGGTGGAACAGGATTAGAGATGGCAGGCTGCTGAGGGCTCACTCTCAAAGGCCGTCCCTGTAGTGAAACATATTTTATGTAACACATTATATATTGCATGTACTTAATGTTACCTATCCTAATGTCATTTTGTTTTTTTAAATAGCTGACACCTTTTAATATACTGCCTTGTCACTCATTCATTGACAGACCTGTAGGACAGTAGGCTACAGTTGTCCAGTCTTGCCGATGTTGCCAGACAATACAGGCAGTGAGTGCTACAGCTTATATGTCCCTTACATAAAATATGTCCGCAAGCCCCGATGCCGCCAAG